CTTTTTGTCATGACGACACTGCTTTAAATATAACAAACACGTTTTTATCAGCGTATTGACCGAGTTCAACTGCCCAGTCAATGACATTATCATATTTGCAGAGTCAATGATCTTCAAAGCGGTTTCTATTCTCTCTTCGAATAAAATAAGAGAACTGTCTAAATTCGTGTATAGATAATTTGAAAGGTTGTTATAGTCATAATAACTCTGTTTAATGTTGCTCATCAAAGTATTTTCTAATTCTTTCAATCTCGAAAGTGATTGATCAAGCTTCACAACAGAGACTTCTTTGCATTGTTCTACGATGGACTTGATTTTTAAAAAATCAACACCATCAAAATTGATGTTTATTGCTCTTGAAAAAACATGCACTGGAAGTGAACTATGATTTTGAGTTGTCGTTGATGTCGAGTTCGACATAATATTGTTTGTTTTTTAATTTCTAGTTTTACAATTGTTCAAAAAAATCTCAGAAAAAAAAATAAAATGTTTAAAGTTTTTATTTAAATGGTGTTTTTGATTTTTGCTTTTTGGATAAAATTATTTTAATTTGTAATGATATATGTCTTAAAATCGGGATCATTTAAACATATTATTAATAATGGTAAACAAAAATTAATTTTGTTTAATCGACAAAAATGCATAGAATGTTCTAATTTTTATTCAAATAAGACTAAAAGAACGACGTTGGCGACTGGGACAACGTTTTACAACTTACTCTAATTAATAATAATATATATAAATATGATACAATAAACCTTAAAGTCCAAGGCTTGTACACTTTTTTTAATTATATTAAATGTTTTGTAGTAATAATATAAGGAACTTGTTAATATCTAAATAGTAAATAAATTTATTATACAATAAATAATTTGACTACATTACTTATTATTATAATTAAAACAGTGGGGTTCAATTTGAAATAAATATTGTTTAAAATCAATTCTCTCAATAGAAATATTTATTGAAAACCCCAATTCATCTTTGTTTGTTTAAAATGTCCCAGACAGCTGACTGTCCTCAACAAGACAAAACACCATCTAGTGACACATCTTTAACACATGAAAATAAAGACCAAAACGTTATTACTCAAAATAAAGAAGATTCATCTTTCGATACAAAAAACAAAGAACAAAAACAAGAAGAAAAACCAGTTGAAATTGACTTAAAAATTAAAGATATTTCACACAAAGAAAATTCAGTGACTCAATTAAACACCAAAAAGATTGTACAAGAACGAGAATTTTTTACAACTCTTTCACTTTTAAGAGCAATATCCGCGCACGCAGTTTTAAGTCATCATCTCGACTATTTTTCGCATATTCCATTTTCTGCTCTATTTCCCTTTGGAAATTTAGCAGTTGAATTTTTCTTCATGTTGACTGGGTTTTTAATGGCGCACTCGACTTTACATTACAGAGACTATGCTCCCATAGTAAAAATAGAAAACATATTAATGTACCCATTACATATTCTTTACTTAAAACTAATTCGGTCATATTACAAGATACGAATTCATGTATTTAAGTGCAATGAATATAAAGTCTTTGAAAATCAGATAATAAGTGAAGCCAGGGCGAATGCCCACAATAAGGCAAATAACGACCTTCCCATCTTCAATCCCTTCAATTTTCTATTAAAACGGTTTATACGACTTGTCCCAATGCAAGTATTTGGCGGCATAATAGTAGCTGCAATGTTCATATCCGTGCGCACCAAATACAATTATAACGAATTTATAAAATTCACTATTATGGGGTGTTTGTGCATACCAAATGTTAAAGCAAATGGCTCCCGATTTTTCCCAATTAATGCGCCGGAGTGGACTTTAATACACGAGCATGTTATTGGATTTTTATATGCCTTTTTTATACGATATTTTAACATGGTTGTGATCATTGGTATTACAGTCTATTTGGCTGTAATGAGAGTGTTATTACTCGACTCTGACTACAAAACCGAATCCTGCAAACACATTGATTGGAACCCAATCGTATTCTTATTCAAAAACTCTCAAAAGAAGTGTGTGGAGTACACTGAGATGTATCGAGTACTCTATGGATTCTTTGTTGGTCTGACTGTCGAGTATTTTGTACGTAAAGTTTCTGAATGGTATCAAAAAGTTTATAAAAAGAAGGCCGAAATACCATTTGGAGGAGTCTTCGCAGTCTTCTTGTTGTGCGTTGCGTATGGATTTAGAAAGAGTTGGGCGAACAATATAAATTCGAATTATTATTATACTATAGCACTTATTTTACTTTTGCCTTTTTCTTTGGTGTTTGGGGTGATGAGTAATTTGAAAAGTAAAATTGTTATAAAAATTGCTAATGCGTTTGGGGATGTTTCATATGCACTTTATTTGACACATTGGGGAAATGTTACGAAATTTATGTTTTGGACGAATACAAAAAATATTACACAGAATATACTTCAGTCGCAAATAATGACAAATGTTATACAATGCTATCTGACGGCTTTTGGTGCTCTTAAGTTTTTCGATGAACCAATTAGAAATTTGTTGAATAATATACTATTCAGAAATAAAAAGAAAACTAAATGAATAATTATTATATTGATGTTTTATTTGAAAATTTTTAAAGTATTGTATCGTGTTAATTATTCTAAATATTTTTTAGTTGTTGTTTATGAATCTATTGATGTAAAATGCTACATTTTTAAGTTTTTAATTGTTGAATTGTGTTGTATCGACTAAATAATATAATCGACCCCCAAAAATTGTTAAATTCATTTTGGTTATGTTTTATGTTTGCAAATGTTTTTCAATTCAAATTACTTGAAAACCTTAAGTTGTGACAACTGTTTTTGTAATAAAATAAAAGTAACACAAGGACAACAACAGTCACCTATTTACGAAGTAGAAACGTCAGTTTTATTGATGTGAATTATAAAATTATTGAACAAAAATTTAATTTAAATTCCATTGTTTGGTTTTAACTTATAATAATAAATATTATATATTACTATAATTTATAATAAACAAAACTTTTTTAATTATCTCTAATTATTTTTATTAATATAGTATGGTTAATATTTTAAAAAATAAAATACAATATGATATTATAAATATACTATACTATTATAATATCTAGTTATCTTATATTTTTATATTTTGAAACTTTTAACAAATAATTTATTAACGAGTTTATTTTTTCCAAACCCAAATTGAAATACTAGATTTTATAATAAATTATATTATACAATACCTTTAAAAAACAATAGTTTTGAAAACGAAAAAAATGTTAATTTTTTTTATTAAACAACATTATGTAAACAATTTACTAAAGATATAATAATTTAGAAAAAATACTAATATATTAATAAAAAAAGCTATAAAAATATTATATTAGTTAATCGTAATAAACAACAAAGAAAATAACCAACTGTACGTAATCGAACCCAAAAGTGCGTGTTACCCCGATTCATTTTAATAAATTAATAATAAAAAAACAAAACATGCAATTTTGGGAAATAGAGTGGAACCCCATTTTTTTCTTTTGATATGCACACAAACTGAAATCATTAAATGAGTCTCCAACAAAAGATCGACGACATTGAATTTGAGTTGTCGCGGACACAAATTAACAAAGCAACAATGCACCACATTTGTATGTTGCGCGCAAAGATGGCGAAGTACCGAAAAGAACTTTTAACGCCGGATAAAAAAGGGCCTGCCGGGGAGGGTTTCGATGTTGCCAAATTTGGAGACGCGCGTGTCGGGATGGTAGGGTTTCCTTCTGTCGGTAAGTCGACATTACTCACTAAGATGACGGACACTGGTTTGTATCTGTTAATATTATTATTATTATTATTATTATTATTATTATTATTATTATTATTTACTTACATTCAAACAAATTTTACGAGACATTTCACAGAGTCATTTAACATCGTTGAATATCATCTTAACTATTTCATATATATTCTACATTTATTTCGAATTTAAATAAAATTGTGTCATATTCAACAGAGTGACTGTGTGTTGATTACATTTGTGAATATAACCAATATGAATATAAGTCTTGAGAAGAAGAAGATTATCATCTTTTTTATATTTACATATTACTTTGAAATTAATCTTAGTTAATACTTTTTATAATAAATTTATTATAATAATCTATACTTATTTATTCATTATCTTCTTTTATTCGTTATTAATTTTATACTATAAATATATACTATATATGTATTTATCCACAAAAAATGTAAATATTTTTCTAATAAATTTATAATAAATTAAACTATTAATTAACGCCTTTTATTTCTATGAGTTATATTAATTTTACTACAATTTACTATAATTTACTATACTATAAAATACACTCTCTACTAAAATGTATTATAATATTATACAATCTTTTACCTACTATATTAAATTATATTTAAACTATAAATTAATCCAAAGAGTCTAAAGCCGCTGCATATGAATTTACAACGTTAACGTGTATTCCAGGTGTTTTAAATTACAATGGATCGAAAGTCCAGTTACTTGATCTTCCCGGTATTATTGAAGGAGCCAAAGATGGGAAAGGGCGAGGACGACAAGTCATCTCTGTAGCGCGTACGTGTGATTGTATAATGCTTTTAATTGATGGGACGAAGTCACTTGACTTAAAGGAGAAGATTGAATATGAGTTAGAGGGCTTTGGGATTCGATTGAATAAACGGCCACCGAAGATCAAAATAGTGAAGAAGACTGCGGGGTCGGTGTCATTTACTCCATCGATTCCACAGACATATTTGACACAAGAGAACGTCCGATTGACATTAAAAGAGTACAAAATATTGAACGCGGACGTTTACTGCGACTGCGACGCGTCAGTTCAAGACTTGATTGATGCTATTGACCAGAGTTGTAAGTACATTCCATGCATTTATGTGGTGAATAAGATCGACCAAATGAATAAAGAAGACGTAGACAGACTGAAAACAGTACCGTACTTTGCGTGTATCTCTGCGATGACTGAAGAAGGTATAGACGCACTCAGAAAACAAATCTGGGAACAACTCAATCTAATTCGAGTGTATACAAAGGTCCCGGGAGAATTTCCGGACTTTAAAGACGCTATTGTACTCCCAGCAAAGAAGGCAACGGTGGAAAATATTTGCTTCAAAATACATAAGCAACTGGCAGGACAAATGAAATACGCGTTGGTGTGGGGAACTAGTGTAGCGAGATCACCACAGAGAGTCGGAAAGGAACATAAACTGGACGACGAGGATGTTTTACAAATCATTAAAGGAGGGAAGTGATATTTTTTTGAGAGTTGTGTTGATATAAATAGGTTTGAAGATATAAATAAGTGGATGTAATTAATTAATATTATTATTTATTATTTAAAAAATTATCTATATATATCTTTGTTATTACAGATCGAGTATTTACAGGGTGCCAGAAACTTATTAAGTGCCAGAATTATTTTAAGAAATGAAATGAGTTTGGCACCCATTTCCATATCAATTATCATCAAGAAAAAAAAATAAATAAAAAATAAAAAAATAAAACCCGAATTTTTACTACAATAAATCCTCTAATTTATTGGCACCCATTAAGTTTCTGGCACCCATTAAATACTCTATCTGAACAGTCAAAGGCGTCTATTTGTCATAATTATAATTGTCGAACTTGCTTAATTGTCGCACAACTGGCCAATCATTTGGTGTACGACAATTAATTATTTTGTTCTCGAATCTGTAACTTTCGTTGAATTAAAAACTAAATTATTTATAAAAATAAATTTTGATATTAAAATAAATTTCTTCAAAATTCACTCATTTACGACAAATAGACGCTTTTGACTGTATTTAATGTTTTCATTTTTACAACACTTTAATGATTACTTTTTTTTAGCATTTTTTTTAAAAGTACTCGATTTTTTCATTGGTTTTCATTGTTGGGATGTATTCTTTCGAAAATTAGTGATGCGAGCAAACATGTTTATAAAAAGGCACAATCAATTATTACAGTTTTAGGAGATCAAAAAGCCCAAATTTTTCCTTCAGCCCAACAAGATTTTTAATTTGCATTTTCTGTTATGATCGAAAAGTTGTTCTTCTTGTAATTTTTGTTGTTACTCAACTTTCTGATTTGTAAAAGACCATTCATTGTGGTAAAATTAAACGAAGAAAAGTTTCGCCATTTGTACTTTGTATCATGCAATTAGTTGAACCTAACCCATTTGAAACACTCCTTCCAAAGTGCTTTTCAGAACTCGTCGACTTACAACATACATTTGCAGAATGTCAAATACACAATTCACATTCAATAAAATCCTCGCATTCATTCAAGAAATGCCGAAAAACACCTCGAGTCAGGGAAACTGAGTGATACGGAGCATTGAAAAGAAGGCTCATAAAGACGCACTCAAACAGTCTGTTTGTGCACCGTTTCACCCACTTTCCAAGTCCTCCCTCGACACGGATCACCCTGTCCCCCCGCAAGTGGGAAATCACATCCGCGTCCACACAGTATGGACAAGGAAAGTGGGTGACATGGAAACTCACAAACAGTGGCTGAAAAGTGGACTCTCTTCAAAAACACTAGCGGCAAATATTTTATTTTGATAAACGGGTGGTAATGGTCAATGTAAGTCCCGTTACCAGACTGACTTTATGAAAAAAAAATGGAGGGATGAGACGGAGGAGCATCCCATAAATATAATTAACCAAATAATAAATTAATATTTGGTCGAAAATTATTGTTGTTGACCCGATAATTATTTATCGGGTTTTAAAGTGCTTGTATAAATTAATTTTTATTGTTTGATAAAATTGTAAATAATTATTATTATTAATGTTAATATAATTATTAATAATTTTACAATTATAATTATAGTATTATTATTAAGATATATAACTAAAAATAAATATCAACCCCATAATTTATAATAATTGCAACTTATATATTGATGAGGCAATTAAAAAACATAATCAGACCGTACGACTAGGATCATTCTTAGAGTATGTCACTTTCTATGTAACAAATAGAATTCACAAAATAGGATGAAGACTTTCATCACTTCAGTACCAAAGGGAGATACGCAGCAATGCACGATGAACTGCTTGTTGAGGGGTTGAGTGCGTGCACAACACTCTGAGATGAGAGGCACTGAAGTCTGTCTGACTATTTTTTGTTTATTTCAATTATTACATTATTTTAGTTTATAATATTATTAAAGAAATTAAAGTTGTTAAAATAAAACAACAATAACACAATCAAATTGAAAGACAATCAGATGAGAGCAAATTGCGAGCGTACTTCAACATGTGTTGGATTCTTACCTTTTGGTTTCTTGTTCTTGAGATTTTGATAAGCCCACCGTTTCTGTTTCTTATCGTCTTGCTTGTTCAGTGTGATGTATGTGACTGTTTTGACTGCCTTCTTTTGAAAAGGCGTGTTGTGTTTTGTTTCAACATTTCTATACATTTCCAAGTGAAACACCATGTTTGCCGATGACTGTTTTGACATCAGTTTCATTATATACACGTGACACGTCAACACAATTCATTTGTCAAGACTCAATTCAAACTTTGAGTCTTGACACTTTGATAAATACAAAAATACTATTGGAAAATTTTTTTTTATTTTAAAAGTGTTGTGAAGAAATAAATTTCGTTAAAGCAGGAATAAATATGTTATCATACCATCTTTAGTTTTTTTCTCAAGAACTTCAGATTTGCTAAGCTCCTTTTACAAGTTTTTGGTCGTCGAAAAAAAATGATCAAAAAATGAATTAAAAAAAATATTTTCATTACAATCGGTTGTTATATATTGCATCTAATTTGAAGAATTTGGAGTTTGTTTGCTCATCATCAACTGTGTCCAATTTTGGCGCACTTGCCCAAAATTCTGCACATTCAAAAGAGTCGAAAATGACAAGAACTTTTTATTGTGTTTAATTGTTCTTAATATTCAAACAACATTTGTTGAAAATATAACTGGCTTACAGACAGACGTTTTGTCTATAAAAAATATTTACACGGATATATTTATTGTATAAATTCAATTTTATTGACTCTTGTCATATTTGCAATGAAAACGTGTTAAAACTGTGTTAACCCATGTTCAAATGTCTTGTTATATAGTAATCAATTTGTTTATTATTTTCAAAAAAGGTATCTAAAATCACAAAGTTGTGGGAGAAAAATAAGATATTTGTTTAACACTTAAATGGCCGAAAACCAAAATTTTATTAGAATAATAACAATATCAAAAAATGCCTTCTATAAAAAAGTTGTTAAAAAAGACGAAAAACCCCTTCTTGGCCGAAAAACGACCCAAAACTTAGTCAAAAATAATAAAAATGAGGACTCAATTACCTAAGATTTGTTTTTGAGGTTAAAAATAGCAACACATATTTTTTTTCAAAAACACAGTCAAACTTTTCAAGAGCGGGAAGTAATGATAATTTTTGTTTTCTCAAGAACGGTCATTTTAGACAATCAAATTTAATTGCCACTTTATGGAGAACTCGATTTTTGTTTTAGTCTAAACTGCTTTCTATTGAGAAAACCCGCTCTTCCAAAGTGCCACTTTTGAGATATTTTACTATATTTCAGGGCCCCAAATTTTTTTTATTGAATAATAATATACTAAATACACGTAAAACAAATCTTGTCGCTTAAACAAGACGTATATTAATAATACGAAAATGAACCATAACAAACTCAATTTAATTTACGTTGGTGTTGACTAGATGAACAGCAAGTTGCTTTTTAATTCGATAATATTTTGTTTTTTTATTGAAGATTTAGTTCATGTCATTAAAAATAGATTTTTAATAAAAAAAACAAAAAAATAATCTATTAAAATTATTATAATTTAATTAGATAAATAAATTAAGAATAAAAAAAACAGTTTAGTTAGTTATTTAGTTAGTTATATAATTAATATTATAAAACAATTGTTTACAAAAGTTTCTAAATCCCCAAACATCATTTTTTCCAAATTTTAAAAAAATTCTATAATATTAGTTTATGTTATTATAATTACACAAAATAATTATTTTATTATGTCTTCACTTTCTTAATCATTTTTATATGAATTCTATCAAATTTTATTTTGAAAACAAAGGCAAAAATCAAATTTGGTAAATAATTATTTGAAAAATTAAATTTTTTAGCTTTAGGCCATTTGAGTGTTAAGTTATCCAAATTATCGTCGGTAATGTACTTGATAAAAATATAGCCGTGTTGCTTCGGCCAAAGACCTCTAGCCCGACGGGCAGATCAAAGGCGTCAAGAGGACAGGGCTTTCTATACTTCAACGAGCATCAGTCTTATTCAAACGAGCTCAGCCAAATGAATCTTCTTGCATTTGGTTCTGGTGACGAATTGAGTTGGTCACACTCGATCACTTGCTAATCAATAATCAACTTTTTATTAATTATTATATGATTTATATTTTCAAAAAATTATGGGGTTCTTATTAATAATTAAAAATATTATAAAAAGTTAATAAAATATTAATATTTTTAATAAATAAATTAATAAATATTTTTAACTATATAAACCTAAAATTAAAAGTAGTTCATTTAAACTATAAACCAAATTAAATCGAACTCATTATCGACTTTATATTTTTAAAAATAATTTTGAATTGTTGTAATGTAGACAATTTATATTTGCATTACTATGTCTTTTATGATTGACTTTATTATTCATCAAATAAACAATCTCATATTGTTTATGTTTTATGGCTTAAATAATTTATGACATCTTTCTTCTAAATTAATTGCTTTCGTTTTATTAAAGATATTAACCAAATGCTTATTATTTGCATTTCTGCTTTTGTTGTTTTTATTTTGTCAATAAACATTTTAACATTTAAAAGTGTTGTTTTTTGAAAATTAAAAAACAATCACTTCTGCATCAAAGTTTTGAATATTGTTAATAAAAATACCAATGTATATAAATGTTAAACAAATTCATAACAGTTAAATATAACTGTTACAAATAATATCAATTTATGTATTTTCTAAAATATTTATCAATTATATTGTTTTTGTTATCTAAAATACATCAGTATTTGTCAAAGTTAATTGATTTTTTATTTATGGTGTATTTGTTTTTTATTTATCAGTATTTTTAAACATTAACTTGTGCCTGATTATTAAAATTTGTCATCCACATATTACAACTGTTTTGTATCACACACGCCCACTAATTAACATAATTTAATAATGTTAAAGTTATTTTGGGTTTTAATTTCTCAATTATTTAGTTGATAAAAATAAAAAACATTTATTTCAATTAAATAGTTTTTTATTTGTATTGATTTGTGTTCAATAATTAACTAAAATAGTATTGTTTTGGATTTAAAAACATTCATTCAAACATAAAACTGAAAAACTCTAAAATATTTAAAATATAAAAACAATTTTATAATCAAAAAATATTAATATATGAACCATTTAGATGGCTTTCACATTATGATAGTTTTGAAATGCTTTTCTTCTTTCCAAGACTTCATATCTCTTGAATTAGTATGTAAGAAATACGCTTCAACTATGTCTAAGTTTCATTACAACCCAATTTTTCTTACCCAAAGTAAACTGATTTTTTTCGAAAATTTAGAGACTTTAATTCTATGGCCACAAAACAATTTTTTGGCTTTTAAACACTTGACACCATACTTTTACAGAGGTTTTACCGCATTATTGTCTACGAAGAAGTTGACTACAAAACTGCTATGAACATGCTCGACATGTATTCCGAAAACAAATTCCAATCAATTAAAAATACTCGTGTTCGAATGCACTCGATTATTTTCAAAAATGTTGTGTACACACAAAAAGACAAAATTGCTTTCAACAGTCATTTGTCTGATTTGGTCACCAAAATCGATGAAAAGTGCTTTTTTAATGAACAAGAAATGAAATCCATAAATATACCAACTACAGTCACTTGTATTGATAACGAATCGTTCTTTCAATGTACTTCTCTAACATCTTTTATATTTCCATTGTCACTGAGACGAATATGTGATAAATCTTTTGCTGAATGTCGATCATTAGTCGAGGTGGTCTTCCCAAGTCGACTCACCTCTATCGGGTCACTATGTTTTTATGGGTGTTATTCTCTCGCCTTTGTGAAGTTCTGAGACATTTAAAACACATTAACGATTTCACTTTTGAATTCTGTTGGAACATTAAGACATTGTCATTCCCAAACCTTCTATTAAAAATCAATTATGGAACTTTCCAAGACTGTTAAAACTTATTTGGATAAAATTGCCAAGTCGTCTCTCTGAAATTAGTTATATAGCTTTTTCAGGCTGTCAAGAATTATTAGACCTTGATATTCCCAAGAGTGTCGAGTCACTCAAAAGTATGTGTTTTTCCAATTGTAAATCTCTTTCAAAATAGTGTTAGAATATGGTCTGAAAAGTATTAAAAATAATTGTTTTGATGGGTGTATCTCATTGAATACAATAGAAATTCCAGACTCTGTGACTGAAATTGGTTGGCAGGCCTTTGCCGAGTGTACACAACTCCAAAAAGTCGTGATGTCAAAGTCACTCACCACTATAAATAGAGAAACTTTTAAAAATTGTTTTTCCATGACTGAATTTGTGTTTGCATATAGGACCAAGTCGATAAAAAGTATTCAACCGTCGTGCTTCATCGATTGTAGATCTTTAAAGTGTATTGATAAACCCGAGGGTGTAATTGATATTTCAGATGATAGTTTTCTACAATGTACGTCTCTCTCTGAAATTACTTTTCCATACACAGTCGAATCATTTGGGGTTCAAAGTTTTTATTGTTGTTTAACTCTTGAAAGTATTGAACTGCCAAAAAACATAAAGAAACTTCAAGTCTCGTGTTTTGAAAATTGCATTAATTTGAGTGTTGTACACGTAACACAAAATTTAACAATGATTGGAACATAATGTTTTGCTTCTTGTGTTAATTTGGAAAAAGTGGAAGGTATAGATGGAGTGGTAATTATCGGTCCTTTTGCTTTTCAAAAGTGTGGAAAACTGAGTTCTATCACATTTGGTAACTCACTTAAAAGTATTGGAGATAGATGTTTTGAAGAATGTATTAATTTACAACACGTTGAAATGCCCGATGAAGTGACCCATATCGGATATAATTGTTTCTTGAACTGCACTAAATTAAAGAAATTAAAGATACCAAGTGGTGTTCAAAATATCTATGATTTATTTGGAAAAAAAGAAAAATAAACACAAAAAATAATTGAAAATAAAATACTATTTTTTTAATATTATATTAATACCATATAGTTAAAAAAAACATTTTATTATTAAAGTAGTATATTTAACTATATTTTGTTAATTTGACATCATTATTTACAATGATTTTATTTCGATTACACTACAACACTTATACAAAAGAAATCGGCACAATTTCTTGAATGACTACAGTAAAACCTTTCAAGAGTGGTATTTTTGAAGAGTATATTTTTTTAAAAAGCGGGCATTTTTTATATTAAAACTAAAAATAGAGTTCTCTATAGAGCGGTAATTAAAGTTTGATTGACTAAAAATGCCCGCTTTTGAAAGAACAAAATTCCCACACCTTCCCGCTTTTGGGAGGTTTTACTGTACTTCATTTGGAAAGTTTCTTATGTTTTATAGACAACACGTTTGATTAAAAAAGTACAAATAAAATTAAAAAATAAGAATTTATCATTTAAATTTTTTCATCTTTAATTTCTTCCAAACTCATCAAATTCAACATTCTATTGATCCTCTCAATAAGCCAATTTTTGTGTTCAAATTCAATCCAGTTTTATGACACATATCATAAATGCCAATTAAACACCAAAAAACAGCTCCAATAACTGCCGCATTTATGTCTGCATTTCCCGCTTCATAGGTCACAGCCAACACACTTTCGAATATTTTTGTCATCTTTTCCATCATTTTTCATTATTTGTACCTCTTTGATCCCCCACACCGCACATCCAACTGGTTTATAAGTGTATCCAATCAATTTATTCAACTTTAGTTGTTCTAAACTTTGTGGATTTGTGAATTTATCAAAACCAGAATAAAACACCTTGTTGTTTTCTATGTACCTTCTTATTCTTTCTCGTGCTAAATTGATCGCTTTTTGGCAATCACACTCGCATTGTAAAAATTCCAATTAAACTGACTATTATAGAAATGAGGCCTGGCATCATGGGTCGTGATGAGTCACATTCCTAAAGGTGTTTGCAGTCTCTTCCACCTTTCCGATATCCCAAAAATAAGGAATCACAACAATTGAAGTTCTCATCACACTCCCATTAGACGCACGCCGTCCTCCTCTTTCTCAAACGTCCATTTATTTTTTTGATGGGCGTTTTGATGAAGTTTTTAGACGACAAAACACTTCACGTGTGGATTCCAACATCCGACAGCTTTATATTGCCGACTTCGGAAAACCAGAAATTGTACCAACAAAGACAACACGCGGAAAAATCTTCTGGAACACAAATTTTATTGTTTGCTACAAAAAGTCAAGTATTAGAAGCGACTGATCGGTGTTATCAGTCCAAATAACATAAAAAATGTGATTCTCTCGTGTTTATAAGTTGGTTTGGATTGTGCTTTAGAGAGAAATTCAGATGAAATACCAACAGCGTCGCAGACGGCTTGGCCAAAAACTGTTGAAATTGTTTTTGAACGAATGTTTTGAAACTATTTTAAAGAAAAAGATGTATAAATTTCTTTGGCAATGAATTTGGATATTCAGTGAAAGAAAGATGGTGGTTTAGGAATTCCATTTAGCATATAGTAGTGGCTCTTGTTTTGGGAGACAATACCTTGATAGTGTTGGATTATCAAAAACGTTTTTGTTGTATTCATTAGATTGAATTGACATGGTCATGTGTATTTTATAGTGGACAAATTTGAAATTGTTTTATGAAATTAAAAAGTTAGATATTATTTCATTCACGACAATTATCAAGTCATATTTAAATATTAACACTTTATATTAATTATTTTAGTAATAAAATATAGTTTCATTTTATCATTAATAAAACAATTTTATTATTTTAAAAATAATCAACATACCAATATTTTTCATTATAAACAAAGTTTGTAAATAATTAGCAAAATTGTTTATTTTAGTTTGAATTAATTAATAAATTATATAAAGTATTTTGGTTAAATTAAACTTTATAAAAAATGAAATTGAGGTTGTTTAGGTGACAAAAATCAAAAACGACAACGGCAGGATTTGAACCTACGCCTCAAATGAGAAATGATTTCGAGTCATACGCCTTGGACCACTCGGCCACTTTGTCTTCTTATACATATTTTTATGTGCTATTCTTTTGAAAACAACAACATAAGATGTTATTTATATAACTTACACTTTCAAATAAGTGTAATATTTTTTGTTTTGTTTCAAAATTAATAGACAAGTATAGTGTGACTTAGTTTTGTTGACCAGAGTGTCCAAAAAAACCATATATCATGAATAATCATTTTGTTTTTTATTATCATTAAAATATCTTTAGAAACTGAATTAATCATTAAAACTCCAAACTATAATCTTATTTGTCGTATTTAAACACTTTGGAGAGACGTATAGTATTATAGTTCCATTTACTTCTTTGGTTTAAGATGTAACAATTAACAAAGCTCAACATAACACATAAATTATCCACAATTATTTAATTATTGTTCTTTAATTTTGAAAAAATTTGATATAATAAAGATTGTTTGTTTGATAAAATATCAAAAAATTAAAATATAAACCCATTTGTTTGATAAAGAAAAATGCATTTGCCGGGACTCGAACCCGGATCTCCACCTTGGAAGGGTGGAATTCTGCCCTTAGACCACAAATGCTTCTTGATATTTTTATTATTTTAAATTAGATATTATGATGTGGCGTTTATTTAAATGAAAATTATGACACCGTCCTTTCCCACCCTCACCCGTTTACCAAAATAAAATACTTGCCGCAATTATTTTTTGAAGAGAGTCCACTTTTCAGCCACTGTTTGTGAGTTTCCATGTCACCCACTTTCCTTGTCCATACTGTGTGGACGCGGATGTGATTTCCCACTTGCGGGGGGACAGGGTGATCCGCGCCAAGGGAGGACTTGGAAAGTTGGTGAAACTTTGCACAAACAGACTGTTTGAGTGCGTCTTTATGAGCCTTCTTTTCAATGCTCCGTATCACTCAGTTTCCCTGACTCGAGGTGTTTTTCGGCATTTCTTGAATGAATGCGAGGATTTTATTGAATGTGAATTGTGCATTTGACATTCCGCAAATGTATGGTGTAAGTAAGTCAACGAGTTCTGAAAAGCACTTTGGAAGGAGTGTTTCAAATGGGTTAGGTTCAACTAATTGCATGATACAAAGTACAACTGGCGAAACTTTTCTTCGTTTAATTTTACCACAATGAATGGTCTTTTACAAATCAGAAAGTTGAGTAACAACAAAAATTACAAGAAGAACAACTTTTCGATCATAACAGAAAATGAAAATTAAAATTCTTGTTGGGATGAAGGAAAAAAATGTGTTTTTTGATCTCCAAAACTTGTAATAATTGATTGTGCCTTTTTATAAATGTGTCCGTTCGCATCACTAATTTTCGAAAGAATACATCCCAACAATGAAAACCAATGAAAAAATCGAGTACTTTTAAAAAAAATGCTAAAAAAGTGTTCATAATGGTGTTGTAAAAATGAATAAAAAATAATTATTATAAAAAATCGTGTTGTAACATTAATTATATTAATATTATTAATAAATTATAATTTGAATTAAAAAAATAAAAAAACAAAAAATGCACTAACAGGGAATTTACCCTGGATCGTTAGTTTGGAAGAAAAAACTCTTGGCTTCTGAGGCCCCTTAGTGCTCTGAAATTAAGTGAATTATATTCTTATTAATTCTTCCAGTTATTAATTTACTATAATTTACTATTAAATAACTATAATTAAAATTTTACTATATTTTACTATATTTTACTATATTTTACTATTGATTTGTCAACATATTTAAATTTTCTCTATTGGTCATTAACTCACCTCTCACTTTTAAAACTCACTTGTCAAAAAATGACTCACTACTTCTCTTTTTGACTCACTTTTATAAAAGTAACTCACTTAAAAAATAATTTACTATT